GAAAACATCTTTCTTCTTAGGGATATCATGCATCCCCTCCCCATTTCCTGACGGCTCCATAATGTCAGTGTGACTTCCCTGAGCTGGATATGGGCTGTGGCTATCCTGTATAGACACAAGATAAAAACCTTAAAAGAAGTAGGACCTCTTAAGCAGTAATCAAGATGGAACTGATCAAATTCTCCTCAATATGATAATCCATCACATATGTCAAATTGGAGATGCACTCCATAAACTTAGAAAGGTACATGTCATAAATGTATTAAACAAGAATGTCACAGAAAGATAGTCCAAAAAGGAACAATAACACACCCCAATTCCCATTCCTGGTTTAGTCTCCGCATACTTTGGTTGAAGCCACTGTGGTGAAAGTGGAATAGGATTGTTAGATCCCTGAACATCTGCATGAATCAAACAAGAAAACTGCTGTAAAATTTGATATAATACACAAAGCAAGCTTTTAAAGAAAATGGCTTAGCTACTAAACCGAACTTGATCCTGCAAGTAAATCAAAACACAACTGGTAGCAACATAGCATTTAACAATTCAATTGCTAATTGCTGGCGAAGTTTTCATTTTTAAGGTGCAATTTATAATATAATAAACGATAATATGAATTCAATTCAGCATGCTCATTGACAATGAAAATGAAAAGATTTTGGGGACATAGAAATGTTAAAAATGCACTAAGATCCTGAGTCTCAGAGGTAACCACAACTACTTATTCTCAGTGAAAAACTCTCTTGCCAACAATTGACACCATATTTCTCACAATAAGCATTATCAAAAAGTAAAAGACACAAGATAGGACATATATAGCAAGACATATAGTCAAAAGGTTGAGGCCAATAGGCTTATCAGGCTCATTGAGGCATATTATTCAGGGAACCCATGTGGATAGTATGTAATTAGAACGAATTGACAGCAGTGGACAGAAGAAATATCGTGAAGCAGTCAGTTAACAGAAATGAAATGACAGCTAAGAAAAGAAAAGAAAAAAGAATATCAAAACCTCGCATTTCAAATCGGTAACCAAAAATCCTAACGTTCAACTTCAAATTCAATCAAAACCCACACTTATCTGCAGAGAACCACTACATCAGTGGAAATGAGGTCAGAACACACCGAACTCGAGTAGGTAGAACAGAATACTCGGAGATAGGGTTTAACGTTGAAGACCTCCCCGAGAAGAAAGGAAAAAGCTAAAGATCAAGAAACAGAAACACGGCAGTTAAGAATTAGGAGGCAAAATACCTTTGGAGATCTGGTGGGGAGGGCTGACGGAGAAAAGGTGGAGAGAATCGGCGGCGGAGCTATTGGACATAGATGATCGGAGAAAACCCTTTTCTTTTTGTCTTTCTTTCTTTCCCTTTGGTGGCTTCGCGGTTGCAGGTGAAAGAGAAGATATTGAGAAGACGGGGGAAATTATAAATAAGTCGTGGGAAAATAAAAAGAAAATAAAATAATAATAAAATCACCGAGAAAGTACTAACAGACAAGTGTGGGTTAAAGTTAAACTCGTTACCTCCCCGGCGTACTTTAGTGACAGAAGTCAATTTGTTGTCCCCTGGAAACTGTATTTAAACGCACCATGGAATGCGTGCACATAACGCTTCGAAGGAGAAGAAAATGATGCCCATAGAGAAAAGGGAATTGCGTGATGTCACGCGAACGGGTGGTGGGGAGGAAAGGAGTTGGATTTGGTTTTTTTTTTTTTTTTTTTACCAATATATGAGTTGACGATGCAGGTTAAGGTGGACTGGAGTTTTTTCTTGAGTGTAGTTTCGAGTGAAGAAGCTGACGTGAGATTGTGCCGTGGTCTCTTGGATACCATAACCAATTCTTGGGCCTAACTCCATGAAGGATTCAGGTTGTTACAATATCCTTATTTAACTCAAGTAGACGTTACAATCTCCGCACTTCTTTTTTTTTTAAGAAGGGCAATTGTTTTTTAAGAAAGGCAATTGTTAAAGGTGTTAATGTGTTAGAGGTGTTAGTGTGTTGGGAGGGTATTGAACTCGGGACATGAGATGCAAACCACGACCTACTCCAAAGGGCAACAAGTGAACATTGCGCCACGCACGTGGAATGCACAATCTCCACACTTAATTTAAGTGTGATGAGATCAAAGTTATCAGCAATAATAAGTTTTTAAATTTTTAAATTTAAATTATTAATAATGATTATTTTTTACATTTATATATCATTCACATTAATATATCAATCACACTTATATTTTAATCTCGATATAATATTTAGAGCATTACAAATAAACAAAATTTTATCACATAAGTCATATAATTGTCTCTACTTTATTGCTTTTTTATTTGAGTCAATGCCACACTTACATAAAATATAATTCATTTGAACTCATAAAAACAAAAAAAAAAAAATTCATTCAAAGCACACATAAATCACATTCTCAATGGAATTTCATATATCCAAGTGAATCATACTTCTATCAATACAGCACCATAACAATAATAAAGTAACAGAATAGAAACGGCCACAAACTCATGTGATGAGATTTGTTTATTTTAACTTATTTACAACAATAACATAAGGTTTATGCCAAAATATGAGGGACTAATGATTTTAAAGACAAACAGGTAGAGGAATCATAGGGATTATGCCCAAATCTTGAATTAAATTAAAAAATGTAGAAAATTTTTAGCTGGGCTCTAGGCTGAGTACTGAAGTTTCCCAAAAGCAAACTATCAAAGCCTAACTTGTAGTTTAGCCCAACTGAGCCCATTTCTTCTTCACTTTCGTCCTCTACTCCCCTGTTTCTCATTTTGAGCCCTTAACACATTACGTTCTGGTTCGAGGCATTAAACTTATTAAAGCAGGGATTAATGATTTACAGTGTACTGCCCCCGCTAAAGCAAAATGGCGGGAACAATTGGCGCCATATTTTGGAAATACCATAAATCTCGGCTTTCTTTCTATATATTCGGAAGCTCTCGCCTTCCAAGTCGTTCTAATCCGTTTATATCTGGTACCGATTTTGTTCCCGTCTGAAGGGCTTTCACAACAATGGCACAAGCAGAGATCCAGAGCAACAGTCCTGAAATCCTGGAGCCGTCCCCGAAGATCCAGAAACTTGATCAGAATGGCGTTGACGAAGTTCCCCAAAGTTCATTTCCGCTCTTGAAAGTGAAGAAGCTTTCGGAAAATGCTGTTCTGCCTTCAAGAGGCTCCCCTCTCTCTGCAGGATATGATCTGTCAAGGTAAATCTACAATCACAACTTCGGTGATTTTACTCGTGTCGAGAGACGGAAATTCATGGGATCTTGATGTTTTTGTGCAGTGCGACGGATACTAAGGTGCCGGCTAGAGGAAAAGCACTTGTTCCTACCGATCTCAGCATTTCAATACCTGAAGGAACCTACGCTCGCGTCGGTATGGAGAAAAAAAAAAGATCTCTTTTTCTTTTAATCTAAATAGATTGATTTATAGGCTGAAAATGGGTTTTTTTTTTTTTTTTCCTTTTTTTTTTTGATTAATTTTGTTTGGGTTTTTAGCACCAAGGTCTGGTTTGGCTTGGAAGCATTCAATTGATGTGGGTGCTGGAGTGATTGATGCTGATTATAGAGGACCTCTTGGGGTTATACTGTTTAACCATTCAGATGCTGATTTTGAGGTGAAAGCTGGAGATAGGATTGCGCAGCTGATTATTGAGAGGATCATGACTCCCGATGTTGTTGAAGTTGAGGATTTGGATTCTACTGTTAGAGGCGCCGGTGGGTTTGGATCTACCGGCGTTTGATTCTCTGTGTGTGCAAGCAGTTAGGGTTTAGGGCCAAACAATGTAAGGGGAAAATCCTGTTGGTTAGTTTTGTTAGTACGTTGCTTAGTGCTTGCAAGTACTCTGGATGATTAGAAAGAATCTTCCAACTAGTTAATCAATATTCTCAGCTTGCACTGGGTTTTTGCTTCAAACAGTCTCTGTTTTCAAAGTCATGGTTTTCTTAGATGCACCTAACTGTTTGCAGACTACAAAACCACAACAACAATAACTAACAAAATGTGAAATCATGATTTTATTGCTTAACACAATCGATACTACATATGTGTCTTAAGGATTATCTGCAGCAACTTTACAACATGGTCCAATCCATTCTTTTGTAACCCCACTAATAAGTAACACATGAGGAAAATTGCAGACATGGAGTAGCAGATGAAGATCTGTGTAAAAAGATAAAACCCAGAAAGGCTGATACATCCAGCCAGACTATCGAAAATGGTTACATCGGTGGAAGAAGGGAAACAAGTGGATCAACAGGTGCAGCATGAGTTTCCTGCAAAAATGATTTATGAATTTTTGGCACACAGCTTACAATATGGAGTTTGATTTAACAAACCTTGGCCGAGAAAAGGAAAAACGACTATTGAAAAAATTGGATATTTTTCATCATTAGGGAAATGTTTAGTTGCCATACCTCTGGGTACCTAGTTATCAATGTGGTAGTACTGAAATTGAAGCCCTGAATAGGTTCTCCTTTTGTACGTGATGCATTAAGCTGCCTCCTGACTTGAGTAGCTAGAGACTGCATTCACAGATATTATTGATGTAGTATTACCTAAGAGAAATCATTTTGCAAGAGTGATGCACCCAAAAACATTTCAGCAAAATCTGTCTTGGAATGACATGACCGTATATGAGGTTGAAATTGATGAGATTTTCTTAGGTGTTAGTGTGTTACATACCTTTCCTAATTCCACACCCCACTGGTCAATTGAATTGATGCCCCAGATAAAACCTTCCACAGCAATCCTGTGTTCATAGATTGCCAACAGCTAACCAAGAAAATGTGTTAGTTTGGTCTGTTAAGGGAACAAAGATGCCTGGCAAAACATATTCCATATATGAACTCATGCACCCAAAATAAAAAAATATATAAATGTAGTAGATGTTGGCATGTTACCCTGAATAGAATAGGATGAACAATTATAAAGTATTCATGAAACTAACCACCTTGTATAATCTGGACCAAGACTACATGAGTTATATTCTAGTGATTAACTATGAGATCTGGAGGGAATATAGCAGAATATGAAGTCCTTGGGACTTCAAACTAGCCATGTGGCATGTCCAAAAAAATACTCTGAAGTTAAAAGAAAAGGGATTAGTAAACACTAACCTGCCCAATATTATAAGCATTCAATGCCGGAAGGAGAAGAATGAGAGAAGGCCGATTACCAGAGAATGTCTATGGAACAGTGGAAGATGATATTACAAGGAAAATCATCTAGCTTTAAAGCTAAGATTTGCACAAAACCTGAATTAGGAAATCACCTTATGAGGAATGAGATGGCGTGGAACATTCTCCTTTTGCAACCATTCTGGTGTCTGCAGGGACCAAAGTTTCTAATTAGTATCTAGATTTTAGGCAATGGTTCGTTCTAGAGTAAAAGGAATAAGAGTAGCATATAATGGTTTGTTGGATAAGCAGAAATGGACCTAAGGCCCCGAGAATTGGGTACTTGAACTTAATTTATTTTTAATCTGTTGAGATTGACAGAGTCGTAACGAGCAATGTGAACCATGTTGGGAAATCAGGTTCATATACTTCAATTGTTGTTTCAGTGAAAACAAATTTTGGCAAGCGACACCACCACCCTTGGGTGAAACCTTGGCTGGTGCTTATAGATGGGGCAGTTTGTGGGTATATACGCAACCATGATATCCAAAATAAAAAATAAAAACATCCAGAAGTGTGAGAATAAAATTTACCTTCCCAAATGCAAGGGCATCAGGCTGTGCAAAAAAGTTGGACATGAGTTCATCATGGTTACCCACCATCTCACCTGAAATACAAGTGAAAATAATGCATAACTTAGATATAATAACAAAATATAATGTTCAAGTCTGCAATCAATAAAGAAATAAAATCCAACAAGATTTAGGTTTTACCTTTAAGGTGGAGAGGCTGCTGGCTCTTAGCACTACCAATAAAATCACAAGGAATTACACGTCCCTGAAGATTTCAAGATGACACGTTGAGATGTTTATAGCATACAACACCGTGTAGATTGCAGAAAATCTTAGTTTCCCACACATGAAATTAAATTATGAAAGACTACAACAATCCCACACTTTAGTTGGCCATTTGATAATGCCCTATGCAACATAACATACAGGTTACCTGGTGAATTAGCGGATAAAAGTTGTGTTGGCCATTAGTTCCACGTTCATCTAAATATGAAAAGGAAACATCTAGATGTATTCCATTTATTCTATATTGTTTCAACAGTCAAACAGAATTGAACCCTCTACTTCAGTTAATTTTTGAATTAGACTGATCAGTTGAAAGTTGTGTATGATTCCAAACACATCTGAAAAGACAACATCCCTTCCATTCTTAGCATGCATTGCTTTCTTGCTCTATATTTTATTTTTATTATTATTATTATTATTATTATTATTATTATTATTATTATTTTGTATCCTTACATTACCCAGGGCCCTTTTGCAAAAAACTAATTCCAAAAATAAGTCAGCTGAATTCTACCAGCACTTGTAACAGCGACTGATGGTATATCATTAAATAAGTAGTCTTATGATGCCCCAACCCAAGAGCAAAAGAAATCCATTCCCTCATTGTCCGAGCATTCAACATACTTTCAGGTGTCGTAAATGTTTTTGAAACCACCACAACTGCATATATTTACAAGAAAACCAAACCATAACCCAGTATCAGAAACGGATGCTTAGATAGTACACTCATACAATATACTCAGTGCAATGAAGAAAAGATTAGTACTTACCTAGAGTGGTCTCAGGTTTTAAACCCTTTGTATTTCTCACAACATTGGTAGGATCAACATTTGCAAGACTACAAAATCAAAATAAGAGATTATATTTTTTTTTATGGTAAATAAGAAGTTAGATTGAATTTCTAGAAAAATCTAATGCAACATGATTTCCTCATTGCAAGCAGTATTGAAATCAAAATATTAGACAAGCATGCAAGCCCCATGCTTCCCACAAAAACAAGAATCCACTCATTTTTTGGTGTATCAATCGAGGTGGTACTCCTCTATGTGATCAGGGACTACAATGCTTGATTTATTAAAAGATATAAGGAAACCACAAAGTACATACTCATAATAAATAATTACTTACAAGTGCAATTGGCGACCTTTTGCACATTCCATGGCTTCAGGCCCTGTCAATTGCCATTATAAAACCAACCATGAATATATCAGTTATATTTCCTTTTTCCTTTGTAAGACAACCTTCAATTCTCGTTTTTCATCAGTATGAAAAATTTACAGAATACCATGTTAGTAAAAGTCAAACATGGAACTTTTACTTCAAAAACCAACATTAAAGTGCCAAAGAATGAATTTAACTTCTAAATTTCCAAATACTATTTCAAAGATTTAAATAGAAACTAGTGATCAAACCTATTTAATGGATAGATTTAATGATTATTAATGTAGAAACTATCATATATGTTTTATTTTATTTATGAAAAGGAATGTGTGAAAGTAACGAATAATTAACTTTGTACTAAAGAAAACTGTAGCATCACATACCCAAAAAAAAAAAAAGATTAGATAAAATATTGGTTTTATTTATGTTTATTTAATAACATGTCCTCGTTTTGTACTATCATAACCATATTACATCTCTGTTATATCCATGCTTCATAGACAACAAGCAAAAATGATAAGACTGCGTAGGATTATACATTTAATAATGGAATGTATCAACATAACCTGTTTCAAGTGCATTGTGCACAAAGAGAGGACCTAAGAAGCTGCCACCAAGACCAATAGCAACAACATCCTTCAGTACTTTTCCCGTGGCTCCAACCTGCCAAGGTATGCCAGTCACTCAGCAACCCAGGCATTAAATATTCCAGTTTGATATAAAGAACAACAATCCATTATCAAGGCACCACTGCAAACTCTCTCAGAAAAATCTCTGATCTTATCCAGAACATTCCAAACATCAGGCACAACATTCTTCCCATCACTGCAGATAACAGCATCCCTTGAAGCCCGAAGAGCTACATGAAGCACTGACCTATTCTCCATGCTATTTATCTGAAAGTTCCAGCCAGACATAATGCAAAACAAAACCACAGCCATGAAACTAAAAATTAAGCAAGATTCACCATATATGCTGAAAGAGGAAATTTATTGATTATGTCTTTCAATGGAAAGAACAGGAAACAAGGCTTACATGTTCCCCACTGTACATGCGGTTAATCTTCTCTTTAAGATGAGCTGCCTGAAGTCGAAAAGGCCACGGCATAAGTAAATTCCTGTAATATCCATTTTCCAGAAAATTAACCCAGAAACAAATTTGCCTCGGCTAACATATAGAGTTTATCCATGGTGTCAACAGTGGCACGCTGCCGTGAGTAATCCAACAGCATGCCATCAAATTCCCTGTACAAACAGAAAAAGTAAACCCCAGTATTCGTTTGCATAAGAATCCATTAAATATGATCAAAAGAGGCTCATAATCATTGACTGGCACCGCCCCTTGTCGCCCATCAAATCACGTAAATGCGTCTTCCTGATGTCCTCCGCATGGCCCTGCAAAACCTGATACATTATAATTTCAATATATATATACACACACACTTATTT